TTCATTATTAAACTTAAATTAAATTATAATAAAAATAAATAAATTAAAGAGCTTACATAAAAATGAGAAATTTTAAATAGTTGATTTGATATTAATATTGATATATTTTTTTCTTCAAATTTTTATGATATCTTCAAATTTATATTTTATTTAAAAACAAAATCAGTATTGTTTTCTTAAAAACACATAAAATCGTATTATAACATCAACAAAGTCAAATAATAAAATAAAACATTAAATCGAGATGTGTCTCACTGCATTGCGCGAGTCCCCTACTAGTAATTTTTATAAAAATAATAATTAAGTATTTTGTTAGAAGTTAATGGTTATCCTAATTATATTTTAGTTTTTTTATATTTAAAATGAGATATTATCCGTTATTTGATTATGTTTATCTGCAGTTAGTTACACGAATTCAAACATGGAGCTTTAATAAGTTGTACTTATGCATAATTTACTTGTAATCTTGAATTTTAAGTAATATGCATCAATATACAGTACTTCATGCATAACAAATGATTTTTAATAGTTTTATGTCAAATGTTTTATAATATAGTATAGATATGATATGTATAAACACATAAAACTTAGGCTAGTTTGATTACTATAAACTAGTTTATTTTTTTGAGTTTGTTGAAAAAAAATCTTTTGTTAAAAGATAACTTAGTTTTTTGAAAAGTTACTTTGATAATTGTTCAATAAAATCTAAAGTTTCATTTTTTTTCCAGTTATGCCATTTATGTTACATTTAAGTAATTCTTCAACATATCATTTTTTATTATTTTAAATTTAAATTGTTATATAGCTTATTATCTATTTTTTTTATTAACCTGGATATTCAACCCGCTATGCGAGCCGACTAATCCCAGGGCGACCACCCGCTTCGCGGGTAGTCCAAAGTCACTGCATTTGAACATCCGTGGCCAGGGATTTTTATTACTCTTTGGATTCAATTTTGAGACCTCAAGACACTTTTGACATTTGAAGTACAAACTCAAACCAATCGGGCATCACCCTTGTGATTTTTAAGTTAGTTAGTTTACCAAACATTATTAATCTATCGACTAGTGTTTTTGTGAACACGTTGTAAACAATGGGTAACATTAGTGGTGGATTTTGGTGACTGGGGTAAAACTTAAAGAGTGTTAATTTTTTTTTGAAACCAAATAACCCACACGAACCAAAATGTTTCAAGTTATTTGGTTTTCGGGTTAAACGACTTAGTTATAGTTATTCTTTTACTATTTCGGTTAAACCGAAAGCATATATGTTATACCATAACTTTATATGTTTTTATCTCTAGATAATTGGTTGAGACTTTGAGCATTTAAAACAATTAACATATAATAAACCAATTTATATTAAGATAACCTAATAAGATATAGAGATTTGAATTTAATAGAACCAAACAAAAAATTAGAATTTGATATGGATTTAACAAAATAATACACTGGATATCGAGATAAATTTATTTATTTCTAGTTTTGGTGGGAAAAAAAATTAAATGTGTGGAGTTTCGTAAAAATTGAGTGAGTTCTTTAAATATGAAACTAAGCTATTTGTGAAGGTTAAAATTATTATTTAAGCCAAATCCAAAGTTTTTAAACTTTTGACTGGTGTCAAGAGACCATGTGTAAACAATATGTATCACAATGGATATCAAATGGGTATCACAATGCGCATATTATATGTATATTGGGTATCACGGTGATGATCGTTTGCATTTATTTTCTCTTTTAACACTGACGATGTTTTTTAGGTATTTATATTGTGTATCTTATATTCACATGGGAAATTTCTAAATTATGTAAAATGCCTTTAGTTAAAATTTTAATTCAAAGTTACCAAAATTATTAATTTTCTAATATATCATTTGATTTGTGGTTAAGATTGAATTTCACAGTTATAACAAATTACCAAGTTATCCCTTGAATGGTCCTTCACATACATGTGTGTGTGTATGTAGGAGGTTCAAATAAGAAAGACAAAAATCTTAAAAATGTATGAATAAATGATTCATATATTTAGCAACCGTATTGCAGGATCTTCAAAATATCTTGGTGATCTTAAGAGCAAAATATGTAAATACAGACAAATTTATGATGAACTTATATAACCTTAGGGAGGTTGAACGGGCATTCTTTTATCTATATAAATTATACCACAAATAAGAATTCCATTAAATCTTAAACTGATTCAAAATTTCGGTTATTATGTAGATTTATTCACATACAAGTTATAATGATTTACATGCAAATCTATGTTAGGATCCACATGTTCACATGTGAATATTAAATTGATTCAGAATCCTGGTTATTAGTTTTAAATTGATTCACACACAAATTATGGTTAAGAATTAAATATGAATCTATATTAGAATTCACATATGAATCTATGTTAGGATTAACATATAAACCAATATACACCTAACTATCACTATTTGTTAATCGTTTCTTAGGATCTTTTGCATTTAGTACATCTTAAACGATCAATGAAGAAATCGATGTGCGTGTTAACATATGAGATTTAATTTGACTCGTAAATTGTAAAATCATCATTGATTTCAAGGTGAAAATTTTGATAAAAAATCAACCGTAAATTTGTCAATGATTTCAGAATGAAAATTTTGATAAAAAGTCGATAATTATTAATATCCAAAAATATTTTGAATTTTTTTTGAAATAACTCAGAATATTTGATTTTTTCAATATTTATCTTAATTAGTAAAAAAAGACTTAGAAAATCAAAATTTTAAACTAAATAGTTTAGGTAAACGAACTTGAGTTCATATTAGAAGAGTATCCGTGCAATACAACAAGATATATATCTTCGATTTTAATATATTGTTTTATTCTGTCTCCGTCGATATTATAATACGATTTTATTGGGTACTGAAAAAACGATAATATTTTTATTTTTTAAATAAAATATAAATTTGAAGGTTTCATAAAATTTTAAAAAATATGTATCGATTTCAGTATCAAATTAGATATTTAAAAGCGCTTGTTTTCTTTTGTGTATTTCTTTAATTCAATTTTTATTATAAATTAATTGAGATCTAATAATGAAGTAATTCATATTTATTTTAATAATATAATTTTTTTATAAAGATAATATTTAGTATTTTGTTAAAATTCAATGACTATCCTAAATATATTTTAGATTTTTTATATTTAAAATGAGATACTAATCTACTATTTGATTACGTTTATTGATTGTGTTTATCTGTAGTTAGTTACACGAATTCAAACATGAAGCTTTAACAAGTTGTATATACGCACAATTTACTTGTGATCTTGAACTTTAAGTAATATACATCAATAAACAATATTAATACATAAAAATGATTTTTAAAAGTTTTTTTAAATATTTTATAATATGATATAGATATGTATTTTCACATAGATTTATTTTAGATTAACCAATAATTCACACATTAATCATTTATTTTTACATTCACACGTCTTTTTATATTTTTATTTAAACTTTTCTATATGTATAAAGAAATTATAAATAACATATTAATATATATTTTATTTTAAAAATTATATGTAATTTTTTGAGGAAAATTGATCTGACATTTAAGTACATTCAAATCTGGTGGTTGATTACCATGTTTCATATTTTCAGAAAAATAAGATAATGTAAATTTGTTAAAAAGAAAATCCATAGCCGAGCCACATTCATAAGCCGGCTTAGAAATCACTATAAATATACCTATTGAAAAGAAAACCCAAATAAATAAACCAGAAAACCCAGTGTGAGAGAAAGCCCTCTGTGCTTCATCTCCATCTCTCTCTCTCTCTCTCTCTCTCTGAAGTAGAATAGCAGAGAGGTTTTAATGTCTACCCACCGCCTCAGAACCTTGTTGTCAAAGTTCTCTTTGCTGCTTCATTAGGTTTTGGGTTTTCTTCCTCATTTCACTCTAATCAAAACCCCTTAAATCTCATTTTTTTTTTTTTTGATTTTCACAAACACATTCTTCACTGTTCAAACTTCAGATCTGTAAAACCCACAATCTCATTGTCTCTCCAGTTTCATTTTGCTTTCCTTCCCTTGTGGGTTTTGTTTGTTTTGACTTGAAAGTATGAGTAAAGAAGAGTTCTTGAAGATTCAGGTAACATACATGAGCTTTTTTTAATTGTCAAGTGTGTGAAGTAAAAGGTGTAAAAATCTGTGTTTTTATTGTATAATTTGCTCAGGTCTGTATGCATATATTGCTTCTTTCAATGCTTTGCGTGTTTTGAACTCCAAAATCTTCAAACTTACCTTTTACATTTTTCTTCATTTTCACCTCCTTCTCTCTCTCTCTCTCTCTCTCTCTCTCTTTCTACCAAACAGGCTGTGGACAATTAATTGGTATTAAAGTGTATATGAACAAAAATCTCCCTTTTTCCCTTTTTCTTTTGTGGAATTTCTGTTGAATTTCTTCTTCAATTCAATGCTATTTGATTTTTGAACTCCCTTTCTTCTATGTTCATTGTTTGTTTGTTTATTTGTGCATGCAGACTTGTTCTCTGAAAGTGAACATTCACTGTGATGGCTGTAAGCGAAAAGTGAAGAAAATCCTTCAGAAAATCGACGGTATTTTGTTCCCATTTCTTGTTTATCTGAAACTAGCTACTAATCTTGTAGCACTTGTAAGAACTGCTGAAAGTTTGGGTTTAAATTCTGTAAATTTCATCTTTTTGTTGTTAAATCTGAGTTGGGTTTCATCTTAAATTTGATTAATTGATGTTTTTCTGGTTTAATTTTACAGGGGTTTACACCATCACTATAGATCCAGAACAGGGGAAGGTGACGGTATCAGGAAATGTTGATCCAGATACACTCATCAAGAAGCTTGCAAAAAGTGGGAAACTTGCGGAGATTTGGGGTGCTCCCAAGGCAAATCCACAGATCAACAATCAGTTTAAGAACATGCAGATTGAAGGTGGTAAGGGAGGCGGAGGTGGAGGCGGGGGCGGTGGAAATAACAAAAACCAGGGGCACAAAGGGGGCGGAAATACTAACCAGCATCAGCATCAGCAGCACGGTAAAGGAGGACAACAGCCACCGCAGCAAGGTGGTGGTGGTGGTGGTCCGACCCCACAACAGATTCAACAATTTCAGCAAATGAAAGGACTTCAAGATCTGAAGATGCATCCCCAATTCAAGGATATGAAAATGCCCCCTTTTGGTAACAACGGTGGTGGTGGAGGAGGAAAGAATGCACAGAAGGGTGTGAAGGTGGTTGATGTCGATGATGGTAGTGAAGATGATTATGATGATGATTTCGATGATGATGATTTCGATGATGATGATGAGTTTGGTGATGATATGGATGATGGTCCTGTGAAGAAACCGGTGATGATGGGTGGTGCAGGGCCTAATATGATGATGAATCCGCAGCTGATGAAGAGCGGGCAGATGAATCCGCAGCTGATGAAGGGCGGGCAGATACCACCGCAGCTGATGAAGGGCGGGCAGATGCCACCGCAGTTCATGAACAGTGGGCAGATGCCACCGCAGCAAATAAAGGGTGCTCCCCAGATGGGGAATAATGGGGGTGGAAATGGTGGGAAGAAAGGCGGAGGCGGTGGTGGTGGTGGTGGTGGCGGTGCTAATGTTCCTGTACAGGTGAATGGTGGTGGGAAGAAAGGTGGAGGTGGAGGTGGTGGTGGTGGGGGAAACACCGGAGGCAATCAAAATCAAGGTGGTGGAGCAGGAAAGAATGGTGGCAAGAATGGTGGAGATGGTCAAAATAAGAATGGCGGAGGTGGTGGCCAAAATAAAAATGGTGGCGGCGGCAGCGGGGGTGGCAACTTGAACATGAATGGAAATGGAGGTAAGAAAGGTGGGATGAATGATGGTGTACATGGCATGCCAAATATGATGGGGATGAATGGCGCTGGGGGTAATGTGGGGCTCATGGGAAATATGGCTATGGGTGCTCAGATGGGTCCTCGAATGGGTCCTCAAATGGGTCAGATGAATAATGCAGCAGCCATGGCTCAAATGGGTCAGATGAGTAATGCAGCAGCCATGGCTCAAATGGGTCAGATGAGTAATGCAGCCATGTCTCATATGGGTAACATGCAGGCTGTTCAAGGACTTCCGGCAGCAGCAGCAGCAGCGGGGATTAACGGTGGTGGTGGTGGTGGTGGTGGTGGGTATTTCCAAGGTGCAGGACCTGAAGCCATGGCTGGTAACCCCTATTATCAGCAGCAGCTGGCGGCAGCAATGATGAACCAGCAACCGGCTAACGGTAACGAAAGATTTCACCCTATGATGTATGCTCGGCCACCACCGGCGATCAACTATATGCAACCACCACCATATCAGCCTTACCCACCCTACCCCTATCCACACCCACCACAGGGTGACCCTATCACACACTACTTCAGTGATGAAAACACCTCAAGCTGCAGCATCATGTGAGAATACCCCAGTTGGAAAAATGTCGCCCTGTGGCGGTCGGTGGCGGTTAGCGGTGGTGGCTTGGTGACCCAACCACTAGTCTCCATGAACAAGAACCTTTTTTCTTTAGCTTTAGCTGTTCTACTTTTTTAATTTTCTTTTACTTGATCCTAAAGATGGATTAGGGTTTTTTTCTTTTAAATTATGATATCATAGGGGAGTAATATATAGATGATAATATGTTATCAAAGCTTAGAGGAAGAATGAGATGTTAGTGACTAGTGAGTGGGGGATGATGATGATGATGATGGTCATGATGATAATGATGATGGTTTATGCGCTTGATGTTTATATGTGTCCATATGTTGGAAGAAACAGAAATAATATGAAAAGAGATTTTGGGGTTTTTAAGAAAAGTTCCCCCATTTCTTCCCCTCAAATCTTCTCATCTCGTTTAACAAATAATTAGGAGCCTTACCCTTGTTTTCAAGAAAACTATCTTTTTTGAGCAAAAGGGGCAAAAGTTGAAGTCCTAGACCTACACGACACCTAGCCTCTAAGGAATAAGGGTCGTGGCGTAGGTGTTGAGGCCATATCGGGGATATGGTGAAATATTCCATCTGCCACCACGGTTTGATTTCAGGCGCATAATAATTGTGGCAACCGAGTTTATGAGGGTTGGATTTCTTATAGTCGGGATTAATCCAGACATAACATAAGACACCTTTCAAAAACAGGGTGAGTAGGCTAAAGGAATCCGGTTTGAGTAGGCTTTCTAAACATTTAGGTGGTGATTGTTCTCTAAAGGGTGTTGAAGTCTAAAGTCTTATTTTATTTCTGATTAATAATAGATGGTGCTAAGTCTGAAATCTGAATCAATAAGAATGTTTGTTTTTATAACCTGACAAATATCTGAAGACTGAAATCTTAATCAATAGTTTGTTTTTGTAACATCAGGCACATATTTTGCAAAATTCTCTTGATTTTCATTGCCCAAATTCATGTCAACAATTGCTTAACAAAGGTAACACAGCAAGAACCTTGGATGCTATTGGAAATGCCGCCGGTGAGTTTGTTTATGGAAATATCAATACTTTTGATAGATGATAGATCGTCGATAAAAGTTCTTGTTTCATATTAATCTTCTAAACTAACCTATACATACATAAGTTATATATATATATATATATATATATATATATAACAAATTTGTTAGAGATCCTTTGTCACATTAAATATAGGACAACCCGAATTTTGAATTTTGTTCTATTCTGTTCTGTCTTGTCCTATATACCAAATACAACTTTAATGGATAAAAGTGAGACCTACCCATATGTGTTTATGTTATTTTGGTGAATCTCAATGGCTGAAATCATGGAGGCCAATGTGGTGGGGTCTAACAAAATTGAGATGGGAATTAATAGGGCCAATTGGTATTTGGTACCGATGGTTTGGGGCCCATTATCATTAATATGTGCAAGTCTCGACCTACTTTTATATATATAATATTAGAAGGATACTTATGTAATTTAACAAGATAAATCTCGATTTTAATGTTTAGTTTGATTTTTTGTCTCTATCGATATAATACGATTTTATGTGGTTCTGAGAAGGCGATAATGTTTTTATTTTTGAATTAAAATATAAATTTGAAGATAGCATAAAATTTTGTAAAAATATAAATCGATAATAGTATCAAATTAACTATTTAATAGTTCTCGTTTTTTTGGTGTAACTTTTTTAGTTTAATTTTTTATTATAATTTAATTTAGATTTAATAACAAAGTAATTTATTTTTGGTTTAATAATATAATTTTTTATAAAGATAATACTTAAACATTTTGTTAGAACTCAATAATTATCTTAATTATATTTTAGATTTTATATATTTAAAATGAATGTTTATCCTGTATTTGATTATGTTTATCAACAATTAGTTACACGAATTTAAAGATTGAGCTTTGATAAGTTGTACTTACGCAAAATTACTTGTAATCTTAAATTTTAAGTAATAAACATCAATAAATAGTACTTCATGCATAAAAAATGAGTTTTAAGAGTTTTTGTCAAATGTTTTATAATATAGTATATATATATACATATATTGTACGGTTTGTACAAATAACGTGGTTTGCAAAGTAAACCTCCCTCTCTCTCTCTCTCTGTCTCTCTCTCTCTCTCTCTCTCTATATATATATATATATATATATATATAAGGTTGGGTTTACGCTAGACCAATATGGTTTTGTGAGACCATAATTTTACACTTGAAACTTCACCGCAAAACGTTGTAAAAGAAAAAAAACTCCAAATCTTCATAGTAAAAACACTAGGTTACCTTCACAGTGTTTTACTGTGAAGTTTCAAGTATAAAGATGATTTCACGAAAACAAGCTGGTCTCATATGATTCCAAGTCTTTCTCTCTCCATATATATATACGAGAGAGAAATATTTTGCATACCAAACTATTTGTACAAACCTTGAAAACCGTCCATTTCGTTGTTTATTTTACGGAATTATTTTATGAAATTGTTTAATATGATGAAATTGTTTCAAATAATCATGGACATTAACATCTTCATTTTATTAATTTTAGTAAGTAAATATCATCGAAATGAGAAATATATGAAACAATTTAATTTTTACATATAAACAAAAATATATGAAACATTTTCATCATGAAATGAATTATTATTAAACAATTTCATGATAAAATTTCATTAAAGGAGAGAATGAAATTAACAATTTTCACGGTTTGTACAAATAGTTTGATTTGCATTTTATCCCTTATATAGATATATATATATATATATATATATAGTTTGTTTCAAATACAACCCATCGAATTTGTACAACCAATGCAACCCAATAAATTGAGATATTTATAGAAATGATGAGAGTTCATTTATTATGATTTGAATATTTATGGAAGATGAATATGGTTCATTAATTATGATCAATACTTTATATTAGGAAACAATCAAAACTCTTATGAAATCACATATTAATCAAATGAAATGGACGGTTGAGATTGAGTTGTATTGGTTGCACAAATGCCAAGGATTGTATAATAACCAATCTCTCTCTCTCTCTCTCTCTCTCTCTATATATATATATATAGGTTGGTTATTATACAACCCTTGACATTTGTGGAACCAATACAACCCAATCTCAACCGTCCATTTCATTTGATTAATATGTGATTTCATAGAAGTTTTAATTGTTTCATAATATAAAGTATTGATCATAATTAATGAACCATATTCATCTTCCATAAATATTCAAATCATAATAAATGAATTCTCATCATTTCCAAAAATATCTCAATTTATTGGGTTGAATTAGTTGTACAAATGCGATGGGTTGTATTTGAAACAAACACACTCTCTCTCTCTCTCTCTCTCTCTCTCTCTATATATATATATATATATATGTTTTCACTTTGCCAACTTTGAAAAGAGTGAGAGAATGAGATTGATCATCATATACGAGATTAGATAGTCCGTAGTATTTAGGCCGTGGGCTGAAACTCTTGGCATCCTCTTATGAGGGTTGAACTCACATGAGATCGTGAAACTACTTTTTTATACTTGAAGTTTCACAGTAAAATATTGTAAAGGTAAAAAAGTTCGAACCTTCACAGCAAAAACACTGTCAAGGTTACTTTCACAGTATTTTGCTATGAAGTTTCAAATGTAAAAAAGTGGTCTCACGAGTCTCATGAAAATAAAGTGGTCTCATGTGAACCCAAATCTATCTATCTATCCATCTCTCTCTCTCTCTCTCTCTCTCTATACACACACACACATACACACATACGCACACACATATATACATGTGGAGGTTCAAACAAGAACATCTCCATTTTACGAGAACATGAGAACACCCTTATCACAAGTGATAATACACCTTAGGGACCTGGTGATGTGCGGATGATGTGTCGTGCTACTTAAGTCGTGCCAAAGTCGTCTCCTTCTATAATTTAGTATCACATCAAGAACACTCTTATTACATGTGATAATATGCTTGAGCGGGCTTAATGGTGTAAGAGTGACTTGGCCCACAACTTAGACCACTCCAAAGTCGTCCGCATATTTGATTTAGTATCAAATTTCTATTATATCTGATGGAATATAGTATCACATGTGATTTTCCATAGTAAAGAAATGTTCTCGCGTTCTGGTAAAATGAAAGGGTGCTCGTTTGAACCCTTCCCCATATATATATATACAAACATATATCTGCAATATACATACATACATACACATAAAATAATATACATACATACATATACATATACATATATATATATATATACACATATACATATATATATATATATATATATATTTATTTATACATACATACATGCAAATATATGTACATACATACATATACATATATATATATATACACACACATACATATACTATATGAGTTTTTTTTGTAGGATTATGAAGAAGAGTGTAAAAGGGGTGGGATTGTTGGTTTTGATGCTCTTGCTAAATTTAATAGGGTGTGGTACTATTTTTTCAAGTACATTTTTGGGAAACAAACGGATTTAATAGTGAATCAAAACATGTAATTTTGTACTATTGGTTAAGACCTCCTTATTAGATGTTAAAGTAGCTAACAATTAATTATATTTAAAAAAAATAGTTTTTAAATTAGTTGAAAAATGTAAAATTATAAAAAAACTACGTGTTACAAATTAATCAATTCTAAAAATATATTATATAATTAAAATAAATTATTAATAATATAACATATTAATTAATACAAAACAGATAGTTAAAATTCAATTTGACTATTAATTATATATAGAATTGTAGATGTAGACTTGTGTAATTAAATGAGAATGCTAAAAAGATTACATTAATTGATTATTTTAAATATTTTTTATTAATTATATACACTTTAATTAATTAATTAATAATAAAAAATAAACTTTAAAACCATTTATTAAAATCTTATTATTTATAAAACAAATAAATATAACTTATAAAAACTTCTTAAGAATTATTAAAAAATGTGCAAATCAGGAAATATTAATTAAAATCTCAAGCTATATAAAAACTTCATTAGAATATTAAATAACACTCTTTATTTTTCTTAGACAGAGTAAGAACCTGTTTACTAACCTCTTACCGCCTCTTACCCGACTCTTACCCATTAAGAGATGCTTACCCGGGTAAGAGGTAAAAGTGTTTACTAAAAAAAAAAAAACCATCTCTGACCGTCCTCTTACCACAGTCAGCAACAAAAATCAATCTTACCATGGTAAGAGGCTCTATTCCTTCTCTACCCCTCCCATCTAAAACCCTAAATCGATACTCTTCTTCATACGAAACTGGTGCGACATCCTAATCACGCAACATATAGTGGTTATGTATCATATCCTTCTTTTTCACGTTCGAGTACGATAT